CCAATGGTTCTTGGGTTTGAACATCTTCATCTTCTGATTCTTCTATTGGAGTTGAAGAATCAGCTGCATCAACTTCTGGGATCATCGTCTGCTGAAACTCCACCTGTTTTGGAGTATGCTCCACCTGCTGTGGAGTACTACTTGTCTGGACAGCTTCATTTGTTACCTTCTTTACTAGGGCAGATTCATCAAAGGTAACATCTCTGCTACAAATTATCTTCTTGGTGTCTAAACACCAAAGGCTGAATCGCTTCACTCCATGGGTGATTCCAATAAAGAGAGCCTTCTTTGCTCTCGGATCAAGCTTGGATTCCTTCATATGATAATAAGCAGTGGATCCAAATACATGTAAGGAATCATAATCAGTAGCAGATTTTCCAGACCATACATCAAATGGTGTTTTTCCTCCTATCGCTGATGACAGCAGACGATTGATGAGATGGCCAGCATATGTCATAGCCTCAGCCCAAAATGCCTTGCCTAACCCAGCATTAGACAACATACATCGAACTTTCTCCAATAATGTTCGATTCATACGCTCTGCCACCCCATTCTGTTGTGGTGTATTTCTAACAGTGAAGTGTCGAACAATACCATACTCATGGTAAACGTCAAAGAATGGGTCACTTTTATATTATCCTCCATTGTTCTTCCTAAGACGTTTGATCTTTCTACCAGTCTGGTTCTCGATCATATTTTTCCATTTAAGGAAAATTTGAAGCACTTCATCTTTAGATTTCATCGGATACACCCAAACTCTTCTGGAAAAGTCATTTACAAAAGTTACAAAATAATGGTTTCCTCCCAAAGACGATGTCTTTAAAGGACCCCATACATCTGAGTGTATATAATCCACAATACCTTTTGTATTATGTATAGTGGCGTCAAACTTCATTCTCTTCTGCTTTCCTAGAACACAATGCTCGCAAAAGTTTAATTTGCAAGCCTTTGCACCTTTCAACAATCCTTTCTTTGCCAAAATTTGCAAGGATTTCTCTCCAGCATGTCCCAACCTCATATGCCACAACTGGGTTACGTCCAAATCATCACCTCCGGAAGTTGCTGCAACTGCTCCAATAATTGTACTACCTTGGTAGTAATAAAAATTATTTTTTCTGATGCCCTTCATCATCACAAGTGCGCCATATGTTACTTTTAAAACTCCATCTCTCATAGTGACTACTGAGCCTTTGGATTCCAAGGCTCCCAACGAGATGAGATTTTTCTTCAAATTGGGCACGTATCGGACATCAGTCAGAACTCTGGTTGATCCATCTTGATTCTTCAATCGAATTGAACCTATCCCAACAGTTTTACAGGCATTGTCATTGCCCATATAAACAACTCCTACATTTAGTTCTACTAAATCGGAGAACCACTCCCTATTAGGGGACATATGATAGGTACAACCCGAATCTAATATCCATTCATCTGAATGGAATGTTGTTGATGAAGCAACCAATGATATGTCAGAGTCATTTGCATCATGCTCTGCAACACATGAATCTGGAGCAGCTTTTCCTTTCTTCTTCAGCTTCGGACAATCTTTCTTCCAATGGACTTTCTCATGACAAAAGGAACATTCATCTTTTCCCATTATGGACTTCGACTTTGATCTCCCTCTCCATTTTGGTTTTGACTTTTCGAGCGACCTCTTGCCACCATGGCGCTTCGTACTTGTTCTCCTTCTTGGGTTTCTTCCTGAGCTCATAACTATACAAACCAGCATTTACATCTTTAAGGGTAACATTATCATTACCATGAAGTAACGTTGTCTCAAGGTGCTCAAATTCATTTGGAAGAGATGACAACAACATCAAGGCCAAATCTTCATCTTTGAAGGTTTCATCCATGCCCAATAAGTCTGCCACTAGCTCATTGAACGCAGTGATGTGTTCATTCATACTGGTATCTGGTTGATAATCAAATCTGAACAATCTTTTCTTAATGTGGAGATGATTATGAGAGCTTTTCTTTAGGAGATTTTCCTCCAATGCTTTCCACATCTTACTTGCAGAAGTCTCGTTATTGTAGCCATACTTCTGCTCCTTGGAAAGACAAGATCGAATCGTGCTGCACATCAAACGATTGATTGTTCCCCATTCTTTCTCCTCCATATATTTGGGCTTTTCTTCCTCAATGGCGATGTCTAGACCTTGTTGGAATAAAGCATCTAACACCTCACCTTGCCATATGCCAAAATGACCGGATCCATCGAACAACTCCACCGAGAAATTTTCATTTGACATCATCCTCTTCACCGGTCCGGATGAAGAGCTTGATGTCTCAACTGATCCGTATTTTGGCATTTTAATTCCAACGAACAATATTCAATATCACGAACTGTATCTTTTCAGTAACGGAACCATCAGTATAACCTCAACCAAAGCTCTGATGCCAATTATTGGGGAAACTGGGTTATTTCCCACACGAACGTAGTTTCAAAATTGACCTAAAATGTCAAGATCAAAACCACCAAAGGTTGCACAGCGGATAAACTTATCAAGCTATTGAATATTGAACATAATGGAAAAAATCGAATAAAAAACAATAAAGGAGAGAACACACCAAATTTACGAGGTTCAACGAGAATATCATCTACTTCTCGGGCACCACACCGGATGATAACTTCACTATCAACAAAATATTACAACAAATGGAATTCTTTAGAATTCCCAAAGTGAGAGAATGAAGAAAACAAATGTAAGAGAGAACTTGTTTTGGGATGATTTCTAATGGAAATACTTAGGCCTATTTATAGTTGAGTTTTAAGGACTAAACTTATAAATAACTTAATATTTTAGGGATCAAATATGGAATTCCCATGTTCAAAGTTTGGTAACCTACCAAAGAATTTTCCAATGTGTACAAGTTAGCCACCAAATATGAAATTCCCATGTTCAAAGTTTGGCCATCAACCAAGATGAAATTTCCAATAAGTTGGCCACCAACCAAGATAAAATTTCCAACTTGCCAACTTAATTTCAAGCTAAATCTAACAGCCTGAAGAGGTTGACGGCCACCATCGATACGAGACGCGTGACGAGGTCTTCGTGCAACGGTTTCCTCGAAGATTTGAGCAAAGAGACAACTTGGATGAGCCTGAGGTGCTTGAGATCCTGCTACGAAGGCAACTCCCGAGGGTCGGTGAAAGTGAAAACCAAACTGCAATCAGTGATCGTCGATAGGAATTCTTCGTGTTCGGAGTCGATACCGCCACCACCGGGACTCGAAAGGGGACTTCCGACATAAGGCTTGGAATCGAGATCGAAGAGGAGCTTGAAAGTAGTCTTCTTCTTGGGTGAGTTCCTGGGGGAATCCCTTGGAATGCCCATTGTCCCTTGCTCTGCTGTCCTCGGCTGGCTTGTGTGCTCTTAACCAGGTTTAAAGACCTCTCCTCTTCTTAGATGATGTTGTTGTTACTTTGTTGGCCGAAGGATAGCAAGCAACAAAAACAAGGCCAAAGGACAGTGATATGTTTTAGGGACAAGAAATTAACGTTGTAAAATCCGATGGAGGAAACTACTGGAATGTCGCCCAAAGGCCAAAGCTAAATGGGATTAAAAAGGAATTGAAGGAATCTTATTGTCCATCAATAAATTCATCTCTCTCATCATATGCATAGTGATAATTTTGGAGGCATTTAACAGTGACGATGAAACAGGAAGAAGAGGACAACATCCAAAGTTAAAGGGTATAGAAAGCGAGTTCTGGCTCACCAACTCACTGCCCAAAGCAATATTTTTGCAGCTACATCAAAAACACAGATCTTTTACAAGATCAAAGCATGTTGGTTTGTCCTAACTGCTATTTGCTTTTGAATAACAACTCCACGATAATATATAAGCTATACCCACCAATTCATGTTTTCCCGTGTCTTTATGTTTTAATTTTTATGTATATGGGATAATGGTACAGATGACCCCTCAAGTTTATCCAAATTTCTAATGTAATTTGCAGCCGGTTCGTATGATCAGGAATGATGATCACCGATCCGGGATGCTGTCCTTGGGGCATCAAATGCGTCACCTTTGTAATTGTAACTATAAAATTTAAATATTTTCTTTTGATAAATAATAGTTATTATCATCTTAGTATAATAAAAGGTTTCACACATGACAGAACAATATTTTACTACATGTTAAAATGAAAATAAATCTTTTTATTTGATAAAAAAAGAAATAATTATTTTTTTGGTTGCCTTTCTCAGTTTAAGGCTCCGATTTGGTTAATTCAGATCGACCCGCTTCGTACATCTGACTTTTGATGGGTGAGTCTCCTAGTAGGAATTTTCTGCACATCTAGTTTAAGCGTATCAAACTACTTATCACTTAAACTAATACTTATTAGTAAGAAATAATTATTTTAAAATAAAACAAAATTGGCATTTAGCCCCGTACAAAGATCTCGTGCCAAACAAAACAATAATTTAGATTTTTTTTAAAAATGAAATTATTTAAATTTTAATATTAAAATTTCAAAATTCAAAATCTTTAATAACTTACTCCTAAAATATTTTGGAATTTAAAATATGAAACTAAAATAATTTTAAAATTAATACTATTATAAGATAAATATAAAATAATTAAAAATAAAATTATATAAAAATACCTTAAGGATCCGTGGGAAAATCACAAATGATTCCTAAATAATTTTTCAAGAACCCAAAAAAATCTAAAAGAAAGATACTTTTTTGAGATTTAAAATTTATATTTATTAATTTTGTTTTACGTGTGTCATGCTATGGTGTCTTGTGTGAATTTTATTAAAAATAAAATAATCATATAACGGCGTGTTTCAATCTGCAACTATGAAGCAACTTAAGCACACATTGGACATTACATCCTTTTGATTTAAATGCTAAAAAAGCCATTTTGGCTAATTGATACATTTCATGATACCTTGACATAGTGAACATAGCTACATACAATGCCATTTAACCATACACTTACATCTTTTTTACTTCAAAACTAAAATGCCAATTTTGGTTATTCATACAATTTTAACACCAAAACGGCATGTGATCAGCTAAGCGTTGGCACTTCTTTTAATAAAAAAATGCCGGTTAGGGTTCTATGTTCGGTGCTTTATATAATAACAAAAGGATGGGGGAGGGGGGGAGAAACCACAAAGGAAATATCTAGTACTGACTGTTAATGAAAGCCAGCAGTTACAGTCTTGGTAGCAGGGACATCAGGTGGTGGAGATGGGAGCAAGGTTAAGGCAAATATTCCACTTGCCGCCGCCGCAACTGCTCCGAGTACAAAAGCCGGTAGGTTTCCACCTCCAAATATTGCATCAAATGGTCCACTCCCCAAAGACACCAATATCTGTAAATTCATTTCACAGCAAAATCAATCCCAAAGTTCTTTTTAATATATATTTGAAGTTTAGGTCAGGAAATTTATTATAGTCCCAGGGACTAAATATTACCTGCGGTATTACTATGGCGAGATTCAGCACTCCCAGAGAGAGACCTGTTTCAGAGCAAACGATTAATCAGTTTTAGTTTGAAAGGACGATTCAGTGTGTGCCTGGAAAAAAGAGATTATTGCATGGTTTACCTTGGCCTGCACCAGAGGAACTTGAAAATATGGATGCCAATGCAAAAGGAATGCTGTAAGTTATCTGCAAAAAAAAGAGGAAATTATCTTTTAGCTTGTGAAAAGATCCATTGATTTAACAAGAACTTTCCCTTATGGAACAAACCGAGTTTAAACTGTATTCTTGTTGTAAGTACATTTAAAAGAATCATCAAACCATCTGTTTCAGCTGGCCTGGCCAGACTCCACTGGTTACTTGGTTAAAAAAAGAGGAAAATTAAAGAAGTAATGTGCAAAATGAAGAAGAAAACAGAAGTTGACAAAGGAATCGAAATCCCTTGTATTAAGATGCAATAAATGACATGGGAAGTATCGAAAAACAGTAAGCCTCTATATACTCCAAAACATATTTATCAACACCTTGTGAGGCATCTCACAATACTAGGAAGACAAACAAAAATAAAACTACTTGATGAAGCTGTTTTGAGCATTTAATCGAACAGATGGTTTGCGAAATCCCGTAACGTATGAGATGATACCATAGACTGGGTTAATTAATATTTGTAAATAAAAGAAAAGGTGATTAGAGAAAAGAATAGACTTACAGCTAAGGGTATCCCCAGTGCTGAGAATAGAGATAATGCCCCGGCCTTGATTCCGGCAGGTGGCGGCAAAGGGACTACGACGCCGTCTACGGTGATGAATCGGCGGCTTGACTTAGCCAATTTGGTCACCAAAACCGTCATGGCCAAGCAAAAAGCAAGCAAAAAATTGACAATCCCCCAAAGCTTATTGACGCCTCCAACCCCACGCGCCAAGATCTCCACCCCAAGGGACGTGAAACCCAGCACCACAGAGTTCAACATGAGCCCCAACGCGCCTGCATGTACCCCTGAATTGTAGAGCTTCAATACGAGGTTGTTTCCCACTGAATCGCCACCGTAGACCTCTCTCCCCATCCAATCAGTGTCAAACAGCAAGAAAGGGAACCATGCAATCCAATTGAGACACGTCACCGCCAGGAGAATCCACATGGGTCTTTTCAATTCCTTAAGAGCACCGAATATTTCCATAAAGAAGGGCACCGGGATTGCTTTCGCTGCTGCTGCTTCCTCGACCTCAATCTCACGGCCACTCACGCTACCGGCCTTTTCAGGTTCCAGTGACCATGGCTTTTCATGCACGTACATGAGAGCGATGGAAGTGAGGGTTAACAAGAGCAGAATTGAGAAGAAGAAACAGCTTTTGAGATTTGCGCAGTAAACATCACAAGCTTTCGTGGTTGCGAAGGGGAAGATTTTGTGGAGGTGGGTGTAGGAACCGGCGGCGAAGCCGAGGACGTTCCCGACCGCCATGAAAAACGAAAAGAAGGCGTTTGCGGCCTGCGTTTTCTTCTGGTTATTCCCTGAAATATCAGCCAGTAACGCTCTGCATGGACCTTGTAACGTGTTGTTAGCCAAGTCTAGGATCCAAAACCCTATTACGAACACCACAATGGCACGCGGCTTCGTTTGGGTAGACAAGGAATCCCCAAAGAGATGACCTAAGTCGGCAGCGAAGCCTATAAGGACCACCGCTGTGGCCACCAGGGCGGCTCCCGTGGCTATGAAAGGCCGGCGACGGCCGAAACGGGAGGTGCAACGGTCACTGTGGTAACCAACGATGGGCTGCACCAGCATCCCAGAGATGGGTCCACAGAGCCAAATGAGAGAAGCCCATTTGTGAGGGATACCGAGGAGCTGAACATATGGGGTTAGCAGTGATAACTGCAAGGCCCACCCGAATTGAACACCGGCGGCAATTGAAGCCACGAAAATGATCTTTTTTATCGAGAAAGGACTCGAAGGAGGCGAAGGGGACTGATTTTGAAGCTGGAAAGAAGATTTCTTGCTGGACTCACCACTCTCCATAGCTTTACCACAAAGGGTGTTTTAGAAACTGGGATTTTAGTGATGGAAAACAAGTGAAATGCATGGGGATTTATAGAAAAAAATGGTTGAAGATACAAACACAATCCATTATGGTGAAGATCTGAGTATGTAGTCAACGTGTAAAACTGCCTTAAATTCTGTTTTCCATCTTTAGGACAGGAAATTCAATTCCCTTTGTCTTTTACTCATTGTGTATTTATTAAGCCACGTACTACATGAAAGCAATACTTATCTTCATTTTTAACTGTGAAGTGAGATTATCACTGCAATGCATAAAATTCACTCCACTTATAAATCCGAATCTGTTTTCCACTAATATGACCAATTTTACTATGGCTGATATAATAAAACCGATTTTTTAATCAAAATGTGAATTTTCATTTTAATAGGATATCTTCCTCAAAATAGAGAATTTTAGGATTGTTTGGTTCCAAAAGGTATAGATATTTTTTTTTATTTTTTTGGAAAATAGAAAACGTTGAAAAAACATGTTTAGTTGTAAAATTTAAAAATAATTTTCTAAAGAATTAAAATTAAAATTAGTAAAAATTAAAAAAACATAAAAAGGATGTTTTCATAATTTTTACTAACATTATTTTGAAAATTTTGAAGAATTGAAAAATATTGAATCTAGATTTTTAGCTTTAAATTTAAATCGTTCCAAAAATAATTTTTTGGTTTAATAATATATGAAACCCCAAAAATTTTATAGGAAAATCAATATAGTCTTTGAACATTTTTTACGTCCAATGTGGTCCTTATATTAAACATTTTAATAATTTAATTTTATAATATTTTATATTTAATGTATTGGATATCTTAATAATTATTTATATTTTATATTTTATATTTAAACAACTTCTTAATTTTTCCAAAAAAATTAAATAATTCCTCAAACTTTATGAAAAATAAATTAGGCCCTCAAACTTAGTAAAATAAATAAATGAAGCACATCTATCACATCCTCATCTATTGTGTAATATCACAACAACATCGTGAATTGTCACATTAACTTTGTAGGTTGTCCGGTAAACTTTGTGAATTGTATAGTAAAAAATTGTTAGAAAATGTTATGAAATAATGTAATTAATATTTTATTTAAATAATTTACTTTTAAATTTTTAACTGATGTATAATTATACGTTTAATCTTTTAGAATTTTTAAATTAAATCAATGATACTCAGTGGTGCTCATCGTTAGTGACGGTCAGCGGTACACGTCGAACGTTGTAGAATTTTTCAAAAAAATATCTTAATTGTATGTTTAATTTACGGTTATGACTTTAAATTTTTATTATATTTTTATTGATTTTAGAAGTTGGTTAAATTGCTTCAATTAAGGTTTATATACTTCTTGATATTGATAAAGCTTATAGATTACATCCGTGTTATCAGTTCTTTCTGGCTTGCAAACCTAAATTTAATTTATTGGATATCGGTTAGAATAGAGGGACCATATCCATATCAATTTTGAGAATTTATTGGATTTTAAAAACAATAAATTCATATAAAGGAGTAAAGGACTAATCATACCTAACCAGAAACAATACTTGAGACTATTAATTATTTGTCGTCCATGGTTAAATTCTAGAATTTGGCACAGATACGATACTAAACGGATAAATTTATATTAAAAAGTTTGAAAATTCTATAACATTCGACGAGTACCGTTATTTGTCCCTAACGATGAGCACCGCTGAATAATATTAATTTAATTTATAAAAATTTAAAATTATAAAAAAATTAATGTAGAATTATAAATTAGTTAAAAAATCAAAGGCAAATTGTTTAAAATAAAATATTAATTACATTGTTTTTTATAATATTCTTTTAATAATTTTTAAATATTTTTAAAGGTAAATTATAATTTTTTATTGTTAAAAAATTGTGAAAAATAAATTAATGGTGCTCAAAATACTCAGCTATACTCGTCGAGCGTGACAAACTTAACCCAAATATTATTCATTTCTTATTATTTTTACTTTATTTAAATATATTGTTTTGATGATTTAATATAATACATAACTTTCGACCATAATTTAATTCAGAGAGATAACGAGTGAGATTCATCGAATAATGTTTAGAATTTTAAATATTATATTGTAGATGAAAAAAATAAATTAAAAACAATTTTATGATGAGTTTTATATTATTTATTTTAAATTGAGTAATAAATAGATCAATTGTCTATACTTATAAAAATTATATAAAATAACATAATAATATTTTAATCAATATTAAATTTTCAAGTATGAAATAATTTTAGATGTATAGAATACATACAGTAACTTTATACGAAACTGTAAAAATTAATTTAAATTTAAGATTAATTTATTTTTATTATTTGTTTTATGTAAACTAAATTTACCTTCAGATCGTGAAGCGGCGACAAAAACAGGCGAAGACCGGCACAGATTCAGGGGCAGAGAAAGTGAGAGTCAGAGCCTGAGATTGAGATTGACTTTTGAAAAGGTGGGCATAGCCATAGACATAGAGGGTAGGAACCTAATGGATTAACCCTTTACCCACTTTGGTAAACGTACCCGTACTTCTCTCAATCTCTTTTGATTAGTGTTTTCAGTGCCTATGGATAAAACAAACTAAGCCTTAATAAAAAAATGAATGTATAAATTATAATCTAAATTTATTTTTTGTGTTTAGAGATTTTTTTTATAAAGAAAATACGTGTTTACTATTTTTAACGTTATATCTTTATGTGTTTATATTATAATGGTAATTAAATTTGATCTTTTTCTGAAATTTATCAAGAATATAAATTTAAAAAAAATATTTATTTAAAAATATTAAATATTATAATTTTAAAAAACTTTAAAAATTATTTCTTCCACCACTGATCATCCATTATCGTCGGAGGTTGGCTAATGTTGATCTATTGTAAACTAAGTAAATTACTAAAATGGTTTTCGATACATATAAAATGTTAAGGTAAAGTACACGAATGATCTCAACTCTAGGTCTGATTTTATTTGGATCAGTTAAATTTAAAATCTTCTACTTGGTCATTATTTCAAAAATTTAATTTTTAATCACCTGCCGTTAATACTATAATGAAATGGTAAAAGTGGATTCTGTTTAATTTAGTGTAATAACACAGCTGACCCTCAATGTTAATATATTCTATCAAACTAGTTTTAATTTTAAATAGACAATCAAATTAAATATATTTATAAAGTGAAGACCCCCATTTCCATACCTCATGGTTTTCACTCGTTGATTTCGTTGTTGCCGTTGTGATGACATTGGAATTTGGAAGTGAAGATCAAAACACTCAATATACGTGTATATATTTATAAACTCTTAATTAAATCCCATGATTTTCAGCCCTCACTACAGTAGTGTTTTGTAGCGGCGTTTGGAGAACAAACGTCACAAAATTTGAGGTTAAATTATTAAAATATTATTAAAACACTCAATTATACGTTGATTTTATTATGTTAGTGTTAATTCCAAGTAAATCAACAAATTTAATCTTCATATTTACAAAGTATATCAAATTTGGACTCCCATCCTCATCAAAGTCCTCGTCAACCGTCAATAAACCACCAGCGAACGCTACACATCCCCTTGTTACTACCGTACCTCTGGGTCTTCGCTCCTGAATGTCATTGTTGTGGCTTAAATGACCTTGGGGGTGAAGACCAAAATGAACTTTTTGAATAAATAAAATTTATAAAATACTAAAGATGGAGGCACGCACTTGCATCTGCATACATTTATATATAATTTAGAAAAAGGGGACAGGCAGTGTCAAATTAACCATCCATATCTGCCGCTTAAAGAAAGGGTGACAGGTAACGTCAAATCCATGCATATTATAAGTCAAAAGGCTTCAAAAACTGAAACGTTAACAAAATAAATTAAATATGAAAACAATCAACAGATAATATCGCATGCAACTTATGCTATTTCCGTTGCATAATGTATTGACTAATATCTTCAAAAACTGTCGGTCCATTAATGTTGCCGACACAGGGTAGAGTTGTGAGAACGTAAGGGTCCCTTTTGTAACTGATAGGAGGACACGAGTTGATCATTTTGTAACGAATATTGTTTCCTTGATATCTGAGGATAGCGTTTGGTCGGCCTTGACACGGTCTCGATCGTGCCTCAAAATTTCTGGATTACACACGTAAACGCCTCTTATTGCTTGCATTTCTGATCTTTTTGCTTCTTAGATAACGGCCAAGGCCCCACGGCCTCGATTGTGACTCTGCCGTTCCTATATCTCTGTATAATCAAGATTCAAATTGGTTCGATTTAATTTTTTAAATTAATTATAATTATTAAATTTAATTTTTTTACTTTTTATCATACTACAAATCTGTGTGAACTGATCCGTGACATGTATTTGTAAATTGGGTCCGAATCAAAGTGTACATTGAGGGTCAGGGATGTCTGTGGTTGGGTTGAGTTAGTTAGACTGAATCTTTCGAAAGCGATAGCTTGGAGACGGGTGGCCTCACAGCTGATTGAAAAGATGACGTGTGGATTCTGATACACTCAGGCACGTGCGCCTCTAAACGTGTCTTACATTGCACCTAATTTCTCACGATTTTTTTAATTTTTTTAATAAATCACTAGTATCGATCTATTAATCGACTAATCCAGATCGAGTAATGCAGAGGCGAGGAAGACCGTCCCAATCCAGTTTGCTCCATCGAAAACACTAAAATTCGAAATCCTGACCTTACTTAAGGGATCCAGTGATTCATCCACTTAAACAACTGATTGTTGGTTATTTCTTTAATCCACTGTTACAAATACAAATTATATACATACAGCTGTAATTATGGATAAAATAAAAATATTCACGATAGAAATAACTGAAATAAAATACAAAAACTCGAAATACAGTATGTAATGATTGTTTGTGTCTTAACTCTTAACCCGATAACTACTTATCGGGCTCATAGTCATCGAGCCTACAATTTTTAATGGTAAACTTTAAAAATATTTTAATGTTTCTAATGGTAGAATTATATAACATTTTAAACGGAAAAAAGTACTAAAAAATATAATCGTTGGAATATTATTTAAAGAT